TTACCTCTTTGATTTTCAACATCTTCTAGCAACTGCTGTTTTTTCATTTCTAGAGTTTTGAAAATTTCTCCAAATTTCAGCTCAATTATCTCCACATCATTTTTCAGCATCATCTAGAAGCATAAGAACAGATGTAAATGCAATAGCAATGTCCACACAGAGTCACTAAGTAAGCTCAGAGCACATCTATGCCACAAGGAGTATACTCCAGGTCATGAATAAACTACAGAATAACTACTTCTCTTTGAGAAGACAAACAAAGACACACACACACACATAGAATATCCAGCATTTGTAACTCACATATGCATCATTCGGTCGTTTTGAGATCTCATTTACCAGCTTCTCATTTATTATCCTCATTTGTTTCAGAGTGCTAAAGAAGGTTAACTGCAAGACAATTGAAACACTTATTACAACTTTATCCATTCCATAAAATAAATATATTTCAGTGCTTGTCTAGAATCAGATCAAAACAAACAAGGAGCTACTGGAGAGGGTCCAGTGGATAATCACAAGGATGACCAGGGGTCTGAAACATCTCTCTTATGAGGAGAGACTGCAGGAGCTGGGCCTGTTTAGTCTGGAGAAGACTGAAAAGTATCTCATTGACATATATAAATATCTCAAAGGCAGGTGCCAAAAGTAGGGTGCCAGACTCTTTTCACTGGTGCACACTGAAAAGACAGGACAACGAGCAGTAGCCATAAACTAAACCACAGGAACTTTCAACTCAACGTGAGGAAGAACTTCTTTACATTGAGGGTGGAAGAGCTCCGCAAAAGGCTGCCGAAGGAGTCTCACTCTCTGGAGCCATTCAAACCCCACCTGGTCACAATTCTGTGTCACGTGCTCCAGGTGACCCTGCCTTAGTAGGGGTTTGGACTGGATGATCTCCAGAGGTTCCTTCCAACCCTATAAATTCTGTGATATTCTGAACAATATAGTAAAAAAAGCTTGTGATTCAAAACATCACTTAATAACATTTAATGCTTTCCTGGATCAGTACAGCAGAAGAAAGTTTCTGCTTCTCAAAGTAATGTTCTTAGGCTCATTGTTTTCCTCAGGCCTTTTTAACCCCTCCCCTCGCACACATCTATCACAATATAAGTTTTAATGGTGTTACTCCAGTTTGGCAAAAAAACTGTGAAACTCACTTTTTCTTTTTAGGCCTCCAACTGTTAAAATAGAAAGCTGTTCATACTCAAGATACTTCTGTTTGAGTTTAAACGAAAATTATTACTGAATCTTCCTCCTTTATTTCTCTACAGTATCACTACTTTACATTAGTAGTATGTATAGTACAAAGGCTATTTTCCCCTGGTTTCCCAAGTCACTTATAACTGGTGATGGAAAAGGCAGGAGGAAAATCAGAGTAAAAGCAACTTTTGTCTTAAAGACTAGTCAGTGCTGTATTTAAACTTTTATACTTGTACTTTTCATCACTGCCCTGCCACCCTGCACTCAATTTGCACAGGGCATGGAAAGCTCATTCTACTCAAATAGTCTCTATTTTTAAAAAATCCCAACTTTTACAACCAGACAACCAACCATTATGACAGGCAGTTGCCTTCTTATGCAGACTGTAAAGCATCTTGTTTATACATTTATTATTACTCACCCAAACTATCTATCCCTAAATGTGCAATTATCTGTGACCCAAATTACCTATCGCAGCTAGAGAGCCTATAAACAAGGCATCTGTGGGTGGGTTTTTTGAGTTGTTAGATCTTCCTGAACTTGGAGAAACAAAACCAACAAAACCAAACACCAACACCCCTCCCCCCCGAGTCAAAGAAAAAAACCCCGACACCACCCCAAAATCAACTTTCCAGGTTCTTCGCTAAGCTGGGTTTAGATCTGTGGATACTGAAATACCGCCTGGTCCCCTGTGTGCGTTGAATGCAGTCTGAAGGCAGCCCGGAAAGGCACAACCCGGCAGCCCACAAACAACTCCTTATTGCCCCAAAGCAGCACAAGCCTCCTGCCTCGCTCCTGCTCGCCACGCCGCGGTTTTTCCTGTGTTTCTGAGTAAAAACAACCCGTGCCCGGTGGGATCTCCAGTGCACAGCCCGACACCCCAGCCACATCCCTGGAGCGGAGGGGGAACGCCGCGCTTACTTTTTCTTCCTGATACACCGTGTCTATGAGGTTGACAGAGTGGAAGATGCCCTGATGCTCCTCGGAGACGCACTGCCCGCATCCCGCCTGCCGGCACATGCGGCAGTACAGCTGCACCAGCCGGCTCGGGTGTTTCTGGCAGCTTCCCCCGAACGCGTGCAGGGAGAGCAGGTCGGATCCCGGCTTCGGCCCCAGCGCCGCCTCCCCGCCCGTGGCGGCGCCCGCCGCGCCGGACCGGTAGAGCTTGACCACCTCGGCCAGGGTGGTGTTGACGGGCAGGGCGGCGACGCCGCCGCGGGGCAGCAGGCACAGCTTCCTGCACAACGGACAAGGCACTCGGGCGCATGACGGGCCCGGGCCCGGCGCCCCGCGGCCGAGACGGGCCTGCCCCGGGCTCCGCTGCAGCTGCTGCAGGCGGGCGGCCTCGGCTGAGGCCAGGCACTCCAGCACGCAGCTCCGGCAGAAGTTGTGCGAGCACAGCGGCAGCGTCACCGGCTCCTCCAACAGCGACAGGCACACGGCGCACGTCAGGCTCGCCTCCATCGGCGACGGCAAGTGGTCGAACGGCCGCTGCTTCTGCTGATGCTGCTCTGGGCCCCGCTGGTCCCGCTGCCCCACCACTTCCAACTCGACGACACCGGGGCGCTGCGGCCGGACTGCCACAGGACCCGGTAACGCCGCGCTGCGAACGCAGCTTCCAGCCGTCAACTTCCCAAGAAGTGGCGCCCGGCGCGGGGGGCGGAGCGAGGAGAGGAGCGTTGGCGATAGGCGGAGGCTCGAGATTGACATGGCCGTTATCCAATAAAAGTAGGGAAAGGTAAGGGGGCGGGGCTGAGGATTTTAGGGTCCGCCTCCTGCCTGGCGCGTGAGTGCCCGCGCGCCGCGGCGCCTGCGGGGTCCTAGTGCCGCCGCCATTTTGTGACGGGCTCTGGGCGGAACTCCGGCCTCACGTGCTGGGAGCTCGGGAAGCGCTGGGAGCTCAGCGCGTTTGCAATAGAGGGAAGTGTCGTTGTTCCTTGCTGCAAACCTGCAGAGTTCAAACGAAGTGTCTCCGCAGTGCCCAGGTACAGCTGTTGGGAGCTACCTCTAGCTACACTTGCAAAATCAGAACATAACTTCGGCTTAGAATTATGTTAATGCTGAGCAATTGAGACAGTGCTCTGCTTTTTAATTTTTTATTTTTTTTATTTTTTCCTTTTTATTTTTACTCCCAGAGCAGTTCCTCCCAAAGTTCTGGCTTAACAATTTTAGTATCCGCCCTAAGTGTTTGGACGTAAGTCAAGCTCAAGAGAGATTCGAAAGAAATTATAAGTTTGTTATAAATCAATATATTTGTAACACGGTGCCAGTATTTGCAAAGAAGCCAGATACGCTGTAATTAGTGTTATTTCCAGAGGCTGCAGGAAGCAAACGGCACAAAAGCAACCGCGTATTTGTGCCTTTCTGCAGCAGTGCTTTATTCACGGACTGCACCTGCAGAAAGCACCTCTCTAAAAACATCCATCCACAAGGTCTGTGTCCAGTTGGACACCTTGTGGCGGCGGGAGAAAAGCCACGGGCAGATACCGTGGTGAACATTACCACACTTTCCCTACTTTTGTTTCCCTTGGCTGACAGGAGGTCCACGGCCCCGGCTGGGAAGTCTCGGGTAGGCTGCCCTGAGCACACCCGGGCTATTTAAACCCCGCCTTGCGTTTGTCGCGTTTGTCCCTGGTTCGAGGACTCCAGGCGGGGCTCTGCCTTTCCTCGCTGCTCTGGGAGCTGCGGTCTCAGACTGTTCGCGCCTGTTCCAGGGAGCGCCGCATCCTTCGGCCCCGCTGGGAGGTGCGATGTTACCCGCTAGGAGTCAATTCTTGAACTGTGCCACCTAGGGCATCCTGGATATACCTCCGTGCTCTGAAGGTCAACATTCAATTAATGGTTAAAATGAGACGGGTAAAAATGGAATTCAGAGTTTAATCCTCTGGAACTTCTCTGCTTAAAGCTAAGTAGTGCTTCGTCTTCCAAGTTTCCCAGCGCATGGCACTGGAATAGATGGAGTACTTGATTCTAAGTTTTACTTTTGTTTCAAGTAGAATAGGGGAAAGGCCGTTAAGTATGTGAGCTAAGTAAGAGAATAACAAAAGCCTGGTGAGTGACTGATAAGAGATGGGGGGAGATGCTTAGTCTGATAGTAACTAAAACAATAATGTTCAAGAGCATAAATTATGAGATATAAGAAGTAGGAAAGAGAATAAAAAACATCCTTAAAGGAAGAAATCCTCTTGCTAAAAGAAAATAAAGCAAAATATATTTTTTCTCTCCAGTGTGGAAGTGAACAAATCCTTCCACAGCATGTTGATAAATGTTTGGGATGTTGTGACAAGTGCTTACATGGAGCAATTTTACCACTTGCTCCATTAATTTACATTAATCATAAAAACAGAAATATTAATTAGAACTAGGGATAAAACCATGTTCGTGCCAACATTATTTCCTGTCTCGAGAAAGATTTAATATTAGCAAATGTACAGTACAAATTTGGCTGTTCTGTTATGTAAAATAGGGATCTCTTACAGTTAGTGCATTGCATATAGCTTCAATTTCTATTTAAAATAGGTTTGCACAGCCTTCAGAGTCCATCTTCTTAATAATCTTCTGTATCACCAGCACAGATAGCAAGTAAAGCACTCTCATAATGTCCTGAAGCAAAATGCTGGAAGAAAAAAAAAAAAGGTCAACTTTTCTGTGACTATACATTTTCTGAATTTTTTTTTTCTTAGTGTGTGACAAGGACTAGACTATTGTAAGGTTTTTTAAAACATTACACTGTTTTCATAAGGATTCTAGGCTGAGATTTTTAACATTTCACTTGCCATGGCCTTTGGTTGCTTGGGCACCTAGAAACAATTACATTTGAAAGGCTGGATCCAATCTGTTTATTAATTCTCACATTCAATACCAAAAATTCATGAGTGATTTCATAAAGTTGCTGCACATCTTGCAGTTGGATTATAGTAACATAAAAAAGCTAGTGTCTTAGCAAGAGACATTTCTTTGTACAATTAAACAGATTCAAAATTTTGTTTTAAGAAATAGACCAGGAATACAAGAGGAACAAGGTTTATGAAGGTACTTCTGAAGCACAGGGATAAAACCAGATATTGACTTCAATTTTGCACAGAAGTGGTACCAGCCTAGCCTTACAGATCAGCATGAGATGTTATCAATTAATGTAGAAACCATTCACACAAACTCTTATTCAGCACACACAGTCATGCCTTGTTTATGCACACATCTTGCATTGGGGGAGGGATAAAATCACGGAGAATGAGTTGAGAATTAATTGCTAATTTATGCAAATCAAACTGAAGCACTGAAAATATGCTATTGTTTTTACACCTTGCTTTTTTGTTTGTTTTATTTTAAACCAAATGGTTAACCAGAGTGGTACAGCCTGTGTGATACCAGTGCTGAATATACGCAGAAGTTTGTAAGAACTTACTTTAATGTCATGGAAGAGTGATTTCCCATATCTCTCTTTGTATCGCTGGCGTATGTTCATCAAGTCTATCTCACTCCTGGCAATGAGAATCCTAATAACTGTTTTATTGTGAAACCCAAAGTCCTAAAATGAAAAAGGAAAATGAAAGGAAACTTGATAGTTGGACAACATGTTTGCCCATATGCATGTGCTCATATAAATGTTGAATAGATAAAGATATACCCATATAGGACATATGAGTACATAATGTATAAAAGATACACCCGTAAAGGTGTCCTAGATGTTAAAAGAGTCTTTATCCTACAGTTTTCATGTACTCAAATAATAGAATTAATGTAACTGATTAACAGGGGGTCCTCATATGCCAGTGATTTATCCATGCACTGCAAGTTTTAAGAAAGGAAAATGTGACAAACTTTTGTCAGTATTCTTAGAAATTCAGTTTGTGAGTAGCAGTTGGGCCTGTTGTTGTGGAGTCCGTTCAAACTATAATGAGGCCAGTAATCTATTTCACAAAAACTGCTGCCTCATGTGAATTCTGTGAGATTTTTAACCATAGCTTTAGAATTTACATAGCTTGTGTTCAGATGTGTTTTATTTTAACCGTTTCTAAATAAATTTTTTTAATGTAATTGTGTGAAGAATGGGGACATCTAGTGGCACTAAAAAGTCAAAAGAAGTTAGCACTTACACAAAAGATAAAAGAATCTGCATTAAATCCTACAAAGGAATATGACCATTTGTCTTTATGTAACATTAATTTATTATTTAAGTTTTAGCCATACTTATTAAATCTCTAAAGACAAAAAAGTTACATAGTAAGAGTAATGCATATTGAGTTCTGCATAGTAGGGGGAGTTACCACGAATAGAGAAAAAGTCTTCAATTAAAAAAAAATTGACAGTTACCAGACAGATAATTTTTTAAGGTATCTAAATACTTAACCTTTTACTTCTACTGCTTAGGCACTTTTACTGCTTAGTGACTTAGGCACTACTGCTTTGAAATTTATGTAGGTAGCAACAGTTTCAAAACACACAATCACACCTTAAAGATTGAAGAGACTGATTTGTAAGTACTTGTTTAAGAAAAATCAAAAAACCAAAGAAACAAACAAAATAGGGAAGCTTCTTTTTATGACATGAAGTAGAATGACTACTTACATGAATTGCATTATGAAGCCTGTAAGCAAAGTAGGAAGGCTTGTCACGAATGCAGAGAACTAGGAGGGAAGAGTTGCAACAGGTTAACAGGAGATTATTATAAAATAATTTCTTTAGGCTTTGGGCTCCTTGAAATATAAAGCTGTTCATGCCTCAGGTTAAAATTAAGCTACCAATATTCAATAATACAACTGTATTTATAATTTTGAAAGTTTGGTGGTGGGTCCTCATTGCTGTTGCATCAAAGGGCCTATTAAATATCAGTGAATACACTCACCTGTCTTATTTGTTGAAATATTTTTGTTCTTACTCTATAAATGAAAGATAAATGTACATTAAATTTGAAACTTATTTTTATACCACCAGAGTCTTGAAAACTTAGCTGGTTAATTAATATGTGTAAAATCTGTTGGAAATGCAGTTATCATTGATCCCACAAAATTTATTATCAAATAGATACTAGTTCTGCTCAGTCAGAAGCTAGTGCTGCAAAGATACATTTTTAGATTTACACAAACATGGGAAAGTAGTTAAAATATTCTTTTCTGATTTTCTCTGAAAATTTAATTGCACAGTATATCAGAAGAAAGTGGATAAAATATCAGAAAAATAATATTCTTGATGCACAAGCGATAATATACTAGAATTTATTAAGAGATTACTGCTAGTAAAAATAATGTTTTTACGTTACCTATTGCAACCAGTAATTCTTGAAAGTATCCATCGTAACATTCATTAATGGCATCTACTATGTCTTGCCCAGAGATATTTTGGAACTCCTGGAAAACTTGGGGAGGGGGAGAGGTGGAAAAAAATTCTTGTTTTATTCTAGTTCATCAATAATGATCAACTTGCCTTTTTCTTTCCCCCCCCTTGCCTCTCCTCAGTACTGCAACTATTGAGTTTATTTTTTACTGTTATTATTCTCAGTGTTTCATTATGTTTATGTTGCCCAGGTGAGGCAGCCTAAATGAGTAGCCTGAAACCTGGCTTCTAGGACATTTTCCCCCTGGATTCTTCAGCCTACAGTCTAAAATGAATGTATGCCACAACGTCTGTTTATGACACTTGTAAGAATGTCCAGCTACTAAGACAACTTCTTTGGCTTGTCTAAAACTGGCAAGATTCATTGATTGTGGCAAGGAGCCAGGACTTGTATGACGTGCACATTTGCTGCAAGATGCAGATACGCAGACACGCAAATATCCAGTGTGCTTTCTCTATTAGGGAAGGAGGAAAATTCTTTTTCTGCTGACTACAAAACTTGTGGAGGCTTACAGTACAGGCAGGGCCCTCAGATCTCAGGAAGAGAGCAGAGCACAGAGCAGGTGTGTTAATCCTTTCATCATCAGCTGAATGAATTTGTTGATTCATGATAGCAAAGTAGTTCTAAGCTACTGTTGGAAGCTGACGTAAGAAATACAGCTGGCTACCCAGTGATAAACTTGTCAGCAGACAGACTGTTTTTCTACTGCAGAGCAGAAGCTCAAACTTGTCACTGGATAAAATAGGTTTATTTTCTACAATGGAAGATTTGGGTAACTCGGGTAAATTTAGCTCATGTAAATTTCCTGCAATCTGTAGCTACGTCTGATTTTCTATTTTTAATAAAAATTGCCCTTATGTTTCTGTGTTTATGTTAATTATGGGAGAGCAGATGTGAACACTGAAGTGCGCCCATCAAAAACTTCTATGAAACTTCTGGGAAAAAGCTTCAACACTTTGTGAAGCAATGTGTATTCACATGCAAGCATGTGTTGAAAATAATCCATCCAGCTCTGCCAAGGTGTTTTCCCTCATAAGGGTTGCTTAGGAAAAATGAATAAAATAGTTAAGAAAAATCTCCCTCATCCTGTTGTGTCATGTGTAGACTCAGTGCAGCTGTAGAATTTGCATTTCTTTGGTCATGCATTCTTCTCTGGGTTATTAGGTATCCTGATGCCTGTCTGTTCTGTCTACAGCTGTCAGTGGTCATTGGGCAAAGTTCAGTTTTGCATTTCTTCCAAATTCCTATTAACATCAGTGGGAGTCAGAGTTCCAACAGTTCACACTTGGTTTCAGGCTAATGTCCTGCTTCACACTGACTATCTTGGTATGCAAAGCATGGCTTTCTTAGCGAGTCACATTTTCCCTTTCCACTCTGCATTCAAACAGCTGAACTGTGAATTACCCATCCACAACTGCTGGTGACTCCTGTTGCAGAGAATCATTTGCAGCATGTTTTTGTGTTCGCCTGTCTTCTGCTGACATGCCTCCCATAGAATCTAATATATCAGAAAAAGGGGAAAAAAAAGTATCTTAAGTATGTCCCAAATAACTTTTCAGCATTTGGTGGGGTTTTTTTTGTTTGTTTGTTTTTTAGTTTGTTTGTTTTTTATTTTTTTTTCACATCTGAGCCTATTTACCATTGCATCCTGAGCAGCTGTAGAAGGGTCTGCATATCCTTCCATCCTTGTTCCCTGAAGGAAAAAAAGAGATACATATTCTTCAAAAGTTAAATCCTAAACCAATGTAGAAATATAAAGTTCTCTGTATATGAAGCTATGTTGAATTTCTTGAGATAATATATATAGGCTTTTAGGTTGGATCAGTATATTGCATGGTTGAATTTGTAAATGTGGACAATATCTTCAAGTTGTCACATTGTGTCTTAATTTTCTTTAAAAAGAGGAATTCTAGAATAACAGTCTTGTGAAAAGAAAAAGTGAGTGAAGTGGATAAACCCATCCCGCTTTTAGTCCTATTTTAAATAAGCTTTTACCTGACCACCACAATCCCACCACCATTTTCAGAATTACAGATGTTATATTGTTTACTGTAATATGTAACTCTGAGGGGAAAACAAGTATAGGAGTAAAATTTGCCATTCACTGATTAGTTCTTATCAATATGCATATTACCAGAAAAATCTTTCTCAATATATTTTTCTTTCTGCACAAACCATAGAAGCAAGCTCATCAAATAATGGAGATTTTGCTTGCTCATAATCATTGTCTAAAATTAAGATCCCATACTAGGAAATTGTTTGACAACTTTGATGCACAAACCCAAAAATACATTTAATAGCCTTTCAGTTACACAAACCAAGCTAAATTCTTTAGTAAACACACTATGATCTGAATTACATAGTCAGAAAAAGAGAAGAGCACACTACTTTTGGAATTGCTTTTTTAACCATAGTCATCTTTTAAGGATCAAATCAGCCTTATTTGCAGAACTCTTAAGAATCTGAAGCTCATGTAATTACTGCCTTAATAATATGTGCTTGAAGCAATTTAGTTTAAAATTTACAGTCATGTTACTTTATATGTGAAGGGGAGGATTAAAATTAGGTATTGGCTGTCAGCTTGTAGAATGACTTATTTGTAGTTGTTTTTTGTTAAAAATGTTAACTTGCATGTTAATGAAATGGTGCGAATTTCACACAGTGAAATTTTTAGTAGTAAGATAAATTATCTGAAGTGAATTATGATGGAATGGCTGCATAAAATTACATACATAAGAAAACAACGGAATTAAGACGGAGCAGTGAACAATAAAATGACTTTAATAATGCTCTGCATGAGTCAAATGCCCACTTTCTCCAGTAACATTTGTAGAATTATGTTTTAAATAGTAGAAAACGATCATATATCAATTAATGCCCAAGAAAGAGGATTAGAATGCCATCTGTTTGTCTCAGATTAGAATATTAATTAGCCTGAATTTGAAACTATTTTAACTCTGTTAATTTCTTTAGGAAGGAGACTATAACCTTTAACTTCTAATCTGCCTCAGGCTGAACATGAAAACCATAAATACAATACTATAGCGATTGAATAGTTTGTTCTGCATATGTGGAACATGTTTACTTCTCTCAGTAGTCTGATTTAATAAAAATCAAAGCAGAGGCTTTCTGCAAAGAAAAGCATTAAAGGATGTAAATGCTGCACGGTTATAGAACTAGAAAGGGTATGTTTTAATGAAACATCACTGAGTTTTAATATAAATGATATGCAGTCATGAGTGATTTGACTAACAATCTTCAGAAATATACAGAATAACTGAGTCAAGCTGAAATTTCCTGCAACTCTTCCTTATCCTGATTGAAATAGCAGATCTTGTTAGCCATAAAATTGCTGATTTTAGGCCTCTTTATCAGTACCCGTTGGACTAGTAATGTGTAATCTGAGATTATTTTAAATTTGGTTCATTTGATGGGTAAAGTATGTCCCATGGTTTTAATAATTACAAGAAGTGAGGTTGCTTAATTTCTAGCTCTTCATTTTTAAGCAAGGAAGAATTTTCATTATTAGGGAAAAAAACATTCAGCATAAGAAAAAAATATTTCCTGTTTATAGCTTCTACTTTCGAAAATTCTGTCTTTTTTACTTCAATGAAGCCAGCCTACTGTTATTTCAAATTTGTGTAAGAAGTTTTTTCCCAGACATGCATGTATATAAAAGTACAGATACACATTATGTATGCTATTATCCCATGTCAGTCCTTCATTATTTGTTACTCTGGTTTACAAAAGATTTTGAAGATAATAAACAGAGTGACTACAATGAGAATGACAAGAACGACCACTTTGTTGTATAAACTGGTAAAACTGTAAAGTTGGTATGTAAGTGATACTTCCTTTGCCTCTGTGCAAGCATTTTTTGATTTAGCATATGCAACAGTGCAGAGAGCATTATATTTTAAACAGTGAACACTTTATTTCTTTATTTCTTAGTGAAATGTGAATCTATCTCTATTTCCACATAATGTTTGACTGGTTTGTGATATATTCTGATAATGGAGAAAATACATGCTTTTGAAAATGACATTCATATTTGTATATGCAAGTAGACTCCTTTTGAGCTGAGACAGGTGGAGCAAAGGGTCAGCAGTTGAATACCAATGGGGCTTTATAAAATAATCTGTTTACCTTTGCTTCCATCTGATATCTAAAGTCTGATTAAATTAAGGAATTCAGTTTCTCTTCCTTATCAGCTTCCCTCATGTCTCTTGTTTAAAAGTGCAGCCCTATTGAACTAGCTTTAATCACAGTCACCTTAAAATGTAAAACTTATCAAATACTATTGAAAGTCATTTTGCATTTTTTAGAAATGTAAGACATAGTTCTTGTTTTTACAGTACCTGAGCAAGGTTCATGAGTGTATCTCTGAAGTGACCTGAAGTCTCAGAATCGATATCTTGTTGAAGATCAGTGTTATATTCTAGGTTAAACCAAAACCATATAATCTAAATCACAAATGAGCATGGTCTGAATAGTATTAATGAAGATTATCAAATAAAGAATAAATGGGCATATTCTATTCCAGCATGACCTGGCTGTGGAGCTGGCACATCTGTCTGGCCCTGCTAGGGGCCCTCAGCCACTGTCCCCATGGGCCTGCCCTCCCACCACATTGCTCCAGCCTTTTGTATATAGTTATGGGAGAGGATGTGGGAAGGGAACCAATCTGTACTGAGGAATCATTTTTGTAGTTCTGTTCCTTTGTGTGTTCTAATACCTCCAGAGCACACATAGCACAGCTGCTACTCTGCACTTGGTGAAAAAGCTTACGCATTAGGTAGGCTTCTTTAATCTGGAAGATCTCCATATTTGATCTTGAGGATAATATGTCAATTAGACATTTTTCTTCTGTGTCTACTCCCTGTATGGAAAGAAATAAATATGAAAAGATGTTGTGTACAATGCTGTCCTTATCAGAATTAACAAAATAATAGCAGTTTCTGAAGTGTACTTTTGTATAATATACCTGTTTAAATTACTTTAATAGTAAAACCCTGTATTTCATATATATTTCTAAATCTGATTTTCAGCATGTACATTAGCAAGTGGAAAATGAAGCAAGACTAGTGTTGACAGAAACATTATGGGAATAATTTTAGAGCTTTAGTAAGAAAGGAAATCAGATGCAAAGATCCCTAGACAGTGTTCAGGAAATCTGAAGTAGACATGAGCATAGGTGTTATGCTCTATAATCTTCTTATCATCTTCCTTTTTTTTTTAGTTTGTTTTTTTAATGTATTTAGGTATGCTACAGTCTGTAATATCTAGCATAGATCTTGGTATTAAAGGAGTACATAATGGAGTACATCTAGAGCTGCAGATCACTGTATTTTCCCACAGGGTTTGAATTAATTTTATAAACTTCAATTGGCATAAGGTATGATGCATATATGCTTTTGATATGCACATGGATAGTGTTAATGGTATTCTGTATTTGGGATGAAGGGAGAACTTTGGAGCCCATAGATACACATGGGCTGTTTTTTTTACTTTGGCCATAAGAATATAGGTCAAGTTAGAATACTGTAAGAAAGTTCAAGTTTGATCCACATTTAGGAAAAAATTAATTTTGTCAATAGTGTTAATGAAAGACACGATTTCTTTGTTAGCAACGCTATTTCACAATCCTTTTAATGACAACTATAATAAAGACATTCTAGTAGATCTAAAAATTGATTTCAATGTCTGAAGAACAAGAAAAAACTCTTAACTCTTTTTTTTTTGGGGTGGCAGAATTCTCAAAATTGGCAAGATAAATCATGTAATCTGTGTCTTGCTTGTGACAACATACAGTAGCAAATATTCATACAAAGAAAAGGAAAACAGTGTTGAACTCTGATATGCCTTCCTGTCTTTTAGAAGTTGGTAATTCAGGAATTTCTTGAGAAGAATTATTATTTTCAATATCCAACAGTCAGCCTGGTTTCAAAGAATATATTGAAGTCCCCTGTGAACTAAGTTGTGCTTTTGGTCTCCACAATGCCCTATAGGAATGAATTTCACAGTTTAATGACCTGGTATTTAAGAAAATGTTTTTGTTTTTTTCAAAACTTCAGTTGTGTGAGGATTGCAGTCTCAGATCCAGAGAAGAAAAGGAAATACTTTCTTCAAAATGGGAAATCAGTTCTGTTTCAGTGGAGTTACCATTGCTTTGTTACAGAGTAATTTGTAAGTGTTTATGCAAAGACATGTTCTGCTAAAGGAGTGTTGGTCTTTAGAAGACGTGGAGCCTTAGTGCACGGCACTGGCTGTGGAAATAAATTTGGTTTGTAACATACATAAATGCTTGCAAAAACAGCACCTTACATTTCCCTGTATAAATATTTCTTCATCTTCTGAGTTTACCTTGGGTGTTAAATTGGTTGTATTTGTTTCATGACAGGGATACTATTTATGCTGGTTTTAGCATACCAATGAATAAACTTGAAATAGCACTGTATTTCTGATGACTAGTGGACTAGGTGATAGTACACTACTCTGGTGTACTAACTTTCAGGAATTTATCAACCAGTGAAATGTAAAAAAAAATAATTTAGCGTATATTCAGTACTGTAATTAATGACTGCAACTCTAAGCAATTCTGACTATGAAGATTACCTTCAAGGCATGCCAAAGCTCGTGGGCATCATAGGAGGCAGGTGGATACATCAAGCCAACCATAACTTCTTTAAAGTGATGAGAGAGATTCTCTTTTAGGTCTGTTATCAGATCCTTGAAAAGAAAAAGAAAGTGCACAGACAGGATTATCTCTATAGGCACACTTTATTAAGACACCTTAAAAAATTATTAGTGATTTTCTCTGTAAACGATTAAGGATGAACTGTCAAAGACTAATTCTGGCTAAGATTAAATAAAAAAATACTCTTTTAAATAGTACATGCTTGTTCTACTAGTATGAGCAAGATGAGAATAGGTGCACAGCCCAGTAGGCCACAATGGATTGTTGGTTTTTGGTTCATTAGAATAGAGAAGAAAATGCAGATGTTTAAGTGCAACTGTTACTTAAAATCTTGGAAATCTGAATATCACAGCAGACCATCTGCAGCTTCCCTTAACATATTCCCTGTGCGAATCCAAGAGAGGTAAGCACCTTTGGAAGATGAATCTCATAAAACACCGGTGGTTTATTTTGAATTTTTCAGTGTTGCTATGTGAATAATTTAAGAAAAATCATCTGTATTACTCCTAGTACATAAAAATATCAGCTTTGTATAGCTGGAAGGTTATGTGCTTCAATTCAGTTATATTTTACATTCAAACTGAATTTACTACTTTTGATAGATACTGGATTAACAACATGAAATCCCCCTTTTCCTCCTCATATTTCTCAGTTCTTTCTTGCCGGATAGCTGAGTAATGGATCACAGTTTCCTTTCCATTCTCCCCATTCCTAGTAGCATCCTTTAAAACACTGCAAATGCCAAAAGCTTGTTAACTTACTGTTGATGTTTCCTGTTTCTGATTGAGGACACTTGTACAGTATTTTTTTTTTTTGTATTTTGTGTGCAGCTCTAGACACCTGTAAGATATGTTCTAATCTATGTCTGAATTCAAAGGCATGCCAGAAACAGTTCCCATTATATAAACTATGTATGTATGTATGTAGTATGTTTCCAGAGCTGTATTTTTTTTCAGGCCTGATACATTTCTGAATAAAATTAATTAATAGCTAGAGTAGCAATGAAGGACGCCATATGCATATTAAAAATTAAATTTATGACAAAGAAACATACAAAGTCTTCAGAGAATGTACTTTAGATTCATTTGACAACCACTAAATCACACATGGAGTAGAAATTAATTCATTAAGACATTTTACTTCTGACAACATGCCTGTGGGAAAATGGATTAAAAATACAAATGGATACTACTTAAAAATTACTCCTGCAATTAAAACTAAGGGAAATATTGGAAATAAGAAAAGACAACTCTTAAGTTGTCATTATTTTAATTTCCTAATCATCTTTGCTGTAAGAAATCCTTGAAGGCTAATTGTGAGAAGGAATCTTAAAACTTGTCTGTATGTCTGAATCGTGCAGCTAGTTCAGGAGTTCAGGTCTTTTTTTTTTTTTCTTTTTTAAAATATTTCTCTCCTTCTAATGTGTCTCAGTCTATATTTGTCTAATGAATAGGCATAGTGGCTACCATATTGAGCAGACTGAAGTGAAATAAAGAGGGAAAAGGATTGGACCAACAGGTTTACCATAAATTGAACTGAGAAGGTTAAAACTGCTATTACCTTTCCATGTCTCTTCTCTGTCCTGCAGTGTTTACCACTCATAAACTGGGATTGTCAAATGGTGCATTTGCTCAATGCAATATAACCAGTGGGTCAAATTACAGCCAGGGAAGTGCAATGTGTGCTAAATTATCTTTCAAAGCACAAACTGGAGCAATTTAAGGCAAGATACGTCACATTCTTGGTGGGGTTTTTTTAGAAATTGTCAAGAGTATCATTGGTGAATCTTGCACTGTAATGTGTACCCAGTGCTTAATGAATTCATTTGAATTAAAAATGTGGGTGTATTGGAGTATGTTCCATGATTTTTAAAATATTCTGTAGCCCATTGCTGGAATATGAAAACAGTTTTCTTGCCTTTCCCTTCTATTATTATTCATAGATTTAGAGACTGAGATTCTTAAAAAGGACATCTGAGGTTTTCTTTGGCTTTTTTCTTTCTTCTAGGTCTTTAGTTCTGTGTCCACTGGCTTTAGAGCAATTCATGTTGACTCATATGGTTGAAAGAGGTATGAATTTAAAGGTGTTATGTTTCATAGAGACTTACTGATTTTTTTATATTTTTATTTTTGATTTGAAAAGAAAAGCCAATTAGATTAGTGGTAAGCAAGTCAATAATTGTTCTCTGTGAATATGAAATAACTGCATTCCTGAAGGACATTTGTCAGTTCTTTATTGTGATACTGTGTAATCTCTAGACCATCTTCATGTATCAGAGAGCAGAAATTAAAGATAAAAACACGAAGTTTTAAAATATTTTCTCTTATTAAAGTGATGGGTCCAGTTGATACACTGTAGAGAAAAGGTTAAAACAAACCAGCCAGCTATGGATGGAGTAGAGAAAGACTGTCTCGTGATGAAGGAGATAAATGAACATTTGGAAAAAATGGGCTTGGGTTCTTCATGTCACAGGCACCTCTGGGTAACTTGACATACTTTCGTTTTCTATAAATAACATTAAAACTCAGTGGGGAATACTGAACAGATAAATGCTGAACTTGGGTGGTTTGCATGTGTGATGGTAACCTAATAAATACCTCATAATGAGAAAGCATGTTTAGAAATTTAGGTGCATTGATTTCAATCCTTGTCACAGTCTTTGGAAGGTGGATAGCTGCAATTCAGTTATTGTTTTTTATGGTCTCTATAAAAAATACTTATTCGTTCAAGGCTACATCTAAAATATCACTTATTGTGTGTTTCATTTTTTCTAACAGTCCAAATAAAGTCATTGATCTCCTGGAGAGGAGTAGCAACACAAAATCAACCCACTACACTAATTAAATCCACCTCTTTTTACTTAATTTCTAGGATAGTAAATGGGTGTTTGAGCTTATTCAGGGGTCAGTGGTTTTGGGGTATTTTAGTATAGAGTTTGTGCAAAGGTTGTCTCCAGAAAACTTGGCTGCCCAAAGAAAAAAAATACACTGTTCTGCTGGTAAATGAACTGGTGGTGTAAAAGCACCAGATAATGTGGAGTTTTTGAATGAACCATTTCTAGTTAACTGTAATGAAGAGAGATGGCTCTGTGGTAGCATTTGTGCAAACTCATTGTTCTCACTCTTGCTGATGGATTCAATGGCAAGCAGACACTGGCCTTCAAGGAATTTTCCAGTGAGCCCTTAGTTTTACAGGCTTCAGGAAATGAAGAAAACTGGATTTTGTTATATTTGTCTGGCTTCTTTCAGCAGAAGGGCGTGTTTAGTCAATTTAATCAAATAGTATCTAGTTTCACACTGCACTTTTCATGACTCTCACAGGAATTTTGCAAAAGGTGTTACTATTCTTTTTGTCCTTATATAGCTGTAGCAACTAAGAAAAATGCAGGCATTGCAACTTTCCCAAAGTTAGTTGGTTAGAAACAGTAGATCTGGAAATAGAATATCTATCTCTGTGCATGTTTAAGAACTCAGATAACAAAAATTACATTATTATATACTGTAAGTATAGATAAAATACTTTTTTAAAAGTAACTTTTTATGTCTTAACATTTTTTTAAATACCTTTCAAAGATTCGTAACTTTCACATTAAGCAGCTCAGAAGAGTACTGTGCTTTGTGTATAGATGGGATAACATGGAACGAGGCGTGAGAATGTCAGTGTTTGAGATGTGAACATTAATCATTGCATAAGACAGAAAGCCTGCAACTCTTTGTATGGTGTTATTCTTTGGTTATAATACTACAAAAACTTGAAAAACATATTTCAGAACCCCCAAAATCACATAAAGGAAGAAATAAGTCTGTTCAGATATTTTAGGTTGGTCAGTAGAGAAGATGAACTGTGGAAGAAGGAACTTTTCCTGTCCTTTTCTGTCTCTGTGTGTGGCAGACAATACTTCTGCTGTAGAAATGACCTAATAATATCAGAGGTATCGATAGGCAATGAGCAAGTTTTGTGCCAACCTGTTGTGCCAGCCAGCTGTCTGACAGGCTTGTGGTTCCAGTGACTGACCTGAGAGAAGGGCTGACATTGCACAGGAGACAGGAGAGAAAGAAGTAATGAAAGTACAAAGTGTTTCTGTCGTACCCTGCCGTACATGTCTCTGTACGCCTCAGCAATCATGAGCCGCTGGGAGTTGCAACGCTGAGTTAGGATGTCAATCAACACATCTTTTTCACAGCCTGAAAAGGAAAGGACATAGCCTCTAAATTAACAAACTGGTGTTAATTATTTATATTTGTGATTATTTGAGTTTCATTTAAGAACATTATACTAACTTTTCGAAAAAATTGATCAAGAGACTGATATCCCACTAATATTTACCAACATCAGTTATATTTACTTTGCTTGTGTATCTTGCACTTCTTGGTGTAATACCATCAAAAAGTGAAGCAGTCTGTTATTACCAGATGCATCATCACTTCTTACAAGCTCAATGGATTTGAAAGCATCAATAAAACAGATAGCGGCTTTAATGGATTCAGAATTAGGCCTAGTAGCAGGATTTGTGGCTGAGCCTTGAAAGTCATACTTGTGTGTTCTGTTGATGTTGCAGCCCATGTTTGTCTTATTTTATTCAGTTTATTGTTATAATGGTTTGTTCCTATGTTCCCCTATGTTCTCCCCAGTTGGTCTGTCCCCAAGTTATAGCTACCCCTGAAACTACCTTATGTGGCATTCCCCGCCCCTTGTCCATCATTGTAACCTTGCCCCTTGTTCCAGCTCTTTCCTTGTCCATCATTGTAACCCCGCCCCCTTTTCCAGCACCTTCTTTGTGAGTCTTACCCTGGGCCAATCCATAGTTGTTCCACCCCTTTGGAAACTCCACCTCCGGTTGGCCCAGGTGACCTTTTCTTCTCCCCCGGCTTCCCTCATTGCTGTAACCCTGCCAGGCCCTGCCCTCCACTCCTCCCCGGAAGACCCATCACTGGTCCATTGTTTGTACCCACCCCCTGATCCGCCCCCCACCGAGCACTGCCCTGCTTGGGGCTCTTTGACTCTCCGACTGGAGTGGGCTGTGTGGAACTTCAGAAGCAGAGAGCCTCCCTTGCTTCCTTTACTCAATCCTTGACATGGACCACACTGAAGAGCTGATAGCTCTTAAGGTTCTGCTTCCAGGAAATTTCACCCTGGGGCAGTTCCCCACACCTGGCACGGTGCCGGTGCCGGTGTGCCTCAAAGAGCTAGCTTGGACTCCGGCAGCCTGTGTCATTGTCCTGGGGTACAATGCAAAAATGTGTATTCTATCACCATCTGTTGA